ATAAGCTCATTCCACTGAGGGAACAGCTGGTGGGGGGGGAAAAATCACAAAGTTAACACACTAAAAGCCACTCGGGTGGTTTGAAACCATGATGAAGTAAACACAGGCTTTTTTTAATGTCCGGTAATCCTCAGAGGAACTCAGAAAACAGGGTAATAACAAAAACCACACAGGACAGATTCTTACCCATAGTCATCAAAAGAATACATATCGGGAAGTTGAAGCTCCGTACACCAAGAAGGAGAAAGAAAATTCCTAACAGCCGGATGAAACAAAAAGAAAAGAGGGAATAGGAGGGGGGGATCAGAGAGAAAAAAGACTGTGCCTACTAGTTCATCCCTCATTCTCTCAGCTAGGTAAAACACAGAGCACACTCATTTCTGAGATATAATAATGCAAGAACAGGGAGTGTGTGAGAGAGAAAAGAGGGTGAAGGAGGGAAGGAGAAGAAAACGAGAGAATGAGAGAGAGAGAGAGAGCAAGGGAAGCATGTGATAGATATGGACCAGTCACCTTGTCCTGCTCACATCCATTCTTATCCACTCAAAGGATTGGAAGGCGGTCTGTGCCTTAAAGGAGTCTCTCTCCACAACAGAAATACAGCGGAGAAACAGCCACATGATCCTTACACACACATATTCTCATTCATGCAGCTTTCCAGAAGAAACAAGAAGGCTGCTTTCAGACTGATTGAGTCAGACTTGCTCTGGCAAATTCAGTGAATGATTCATTAAAATGATTCAGACTAATAACTCTGTGAGTCTTACAACAACTGACTCTTTAAGTATAGAGCCCATACATTACATGCAAAAAATAAAAATAGATATGGCCACCAAATAAGAATTTGTTCCCACGACTATATTCATTTGTGGCCAAGTTTTATTAATTAGTTCCCAAGTTTTGGTTAAATTGTGTGGTGATGTTTGATTAATGTAATATTGTAATGTATTTCTATTGCATTGTAATAGTGTAATAGTGTAATATCCCCCCCCCCGTTTTAATTTACTTTAATTGTGGCCACAATTTAACTAAAACCAGGGAATCAAGTTCTTAATTCATAACCACAGTATCTTTTTTTTTTTATCATCACATGCAAGGCTTTGTACATGAGATTCATTTTTCGTTGATCGGTTTACAATGGTCGCATCCTGCATCGTAACATAACCTCCACAAGGAGCGAGTGATTGTTTCAACTTCTCGTCTAGAGGCTGAGCTCATTCTTTAAAATCCTCCAGGATTTACATAGGCCTACAGCATTTATTTTTGCAGTTAACCAATATTTCAAAAGCTGATAATGACACTTTTAAGAACTACATATATACTGAGGCTCAATCAAATGTAGTGCCATGCTGTAGTAAAAATGTGTTTGTGCTGGCAGATGAGGCTCTTGGTTCATGAAAAATGAGGGAATGAATCATGACAGCTGGATTTGATACATCTTCGGGTCTCAGATAAATTACGCAAGAGGAAACGCTACAAGAAAATACATTTGCTTTAGCTCGACAAGTCAAAAAATTACAAAACATGCTCACAGATAACAGAGTACAAATTGAGCATAACTGACAGTAAGTCTGACTGAAGTGTTCCAACCTGATGGCGTGTGTAACATTCAGATGTTTACACAAAAACAGGATCTTCTATATTCTGTTGACACAAATGAACTCACACACATGCAAACAAACACAATCCATGTGTCTCAGTGGCTGTACGATTCACCTAATCAACTGTTCTCATACCTATTATAAAAACAGCTCATTTCACACACTCACTGCTTCCTGCCAACATGGGAGTGAATGCTTTAACCTTACCATAGTGGAGCACTACTGCTAAAAATACCCTACATTGTGAAGTAAAGACTTTTGTACAGGGAGTCAAGGGTTGAATAAATCATTCCACTGAATCAGTTCCTCAGTTTCCTGCTGGCAAGAATGCAACCCGGTCCAGCACAATTTAATACTTCCTTCTAGTCCAGACAGAGAGAGAGAGAATGAAGAAAAGCGAAAGCAGACACATGCAGAAGACTTCAGAGAGGCTGGAATAAATGCACAAACTTGTGTATATGTTGATGATGACGATATACTCTCTTACATGGAGCTCAAAATGTTTAATAGCCTATATGTACACAAGTTAGTGATTTCAAAAATCCCTAGGATTAAAATCAACTGAGGAATTACACTGTGAGAAATCTGTGTGAAAATTAGGCTACAAAATTTTCCCCATTATACGGTCTAATTTAAAAAAAAAGAAATTGTTTTGATTATTTTCATAAGCCAATCAATAATTAGCACAATGCATTTCATTAATAACTAAAACTATACACATAAACCTGGGGTTACATTTTTTCCCCCCATTTAACATTTTCTTCATTTTGAGAATTACAATTGCTAAGTGATTAATGTCGTGCTCACTGTTACTGTGATTTGCATTTGAGATACAGTAGATGTATTTGTTGCCAAACCACAACTAAACATGAATACAAGAGTCTTCATTACCAGACTGACTCTGAACACACCCAGTGAATATACTGCACGAGCGGAGACATGCGCGTGTTCTGCTCCAGTCACTTTAGAATAAAATAGTGTGTGTGGTCACGTTAACTGTTAAACTTGTCACGGCCATCGACACCAATGCTCTGCATCTCGGCTGACGGAACAAGCGTTACACACCCCAAACACCGTCAAACACCCGCTGGCGTCAGCAGAACACAACACAGGTCAAGAATCTGCTCACTCATTAAAGACCTCAGCTCGAGCTTTCAGTGGCTGTGTGCCAAATTCTGTGAGCTGACTACTCCGCAAGCATTCTGGGGATCCATTTCTAGGCGTGTCCTAACGAACGTGTGAATGAATAAATGATTCAAATGAATCTTTTAGCTTAACGAATCGTTCTAGATTCATATTTTCAAATGCAAATAGGCCGAAGCAAATAGCATTCAGTGCAGACTGGAAATGAGCATTTAATTGGTTGGACTTTCTTACGGAATATGAATATTTTTTCATTAAATGAGTCACTGTTTGGATCTAACCTAGACTGAAATGAGATATGTAATTTGTAGGATCAGCTGTCAGATCGATCTGCTTTTATTAGTCAAGAAAACACTTATCACGCTTAATCCACGTTCACAACAAGAACAATAACTGTATAACTCCACACCACATCTATAACCATAATGAGGAACGATATGGTTGGAATCACTTTCAGAACTATTTTTCCAACCGCCTTCAAAGAGCATGAGAATTTAGTGTGCCTTGGTGTGGATGCTAATATGTATTGTTATAGTTTTCCTTCATTATGTGAACACTATTTCTGGAGTTTTGTCAGATTTGTAAATGGTATTGAAGGCTAACAAGACTGAACTCGCTGGTTAAGTGAATGAGTTCATGATTCACATTAAAAGGCCATTCGCTTGTCGCCGCCTACTGGCGTAACGGTGAAACTTCCAAAAAGAGTCACTGACCGAGTGAGACCAAACGAATCTTTTTAATGAACTGATTCAAAAGATTCAAGTCACTGAAAAGAATCAAAATCCCCATCGCAAAGAGGCCACCCAAAATACTGTCGAGATAGGGAGCTCGCAAGGTTTGAAACACACCCAATGTCTGTGATTAACAGTGTCAAGTGCTATATAATACATAAATGTATAGCAATATATATACACACACACACCAATGCATTTTGATGTATAAATGAATACATGCGGGGTCAACACATTGGGCTGCTTACCTCATTTTCTGATGATATCCCAACGAATATATGGATGCAATAAATAATTTAAAAGCTAAAAAAATAAACTTAGCAAAGCCACAGCGGCGAGCCAATGTATGTAAAGCTATCGGCGCATAAATATGTATTTTAATGAGTATAAATACAGCACGTGTACTATTCCATAAAACAATAGTCAGCTTGAATGTATATGCTCATCCAGCGATGCACAGCCAGTCCTTGGATCAGAAGCAATGCAGATGTCTCGAAAGATCTACAGCATATCGCTCTATATCACCACAGCTGAATAAAACACATCCCATGTTTAGCTCATGGTCGCGCCTACAACATCGAGCTGTATTGCGGACTGCAAACGTGCACTGGAGTTGCCATTTTCCTCCACCGTGTTATGACAATGAGAAAGGAGCTTATCGGGACAGTGTAAAAACAAACGCGCAGAACAGCGACTACTGGTGGCCAATATGCCGCATTGCAACTTCCTCTGAGCCCTGCCTCATTGGATTACTGTTATTCCTCCTCTTCCTGTTATTCATGCTCATTTGGTCCTGTTGTATAAACAGGCATAAACTATTTGCTTGATGATAAACGATGTTTATGAATATATCTGCTGCTGGTCAGGGCATCACAGTGTTGAGTGTAAAAAGATGGGAGAAACCAGCAGATGTGTTTTTTCTTATTGTTCCATTTGTGTGGTTGTTTCTAAAATTGTGTTGCTGTTTGGAAGACTTTATTAAAAACATCATTTTTTAAAGGTGAAACAACTGATTTTTCCCATTTTATTATACATTCATATAATGTAATATTGTCATGCGGTTGTCGACATTATCCTTCAAATTGTCGCTCCAACCTTGATCCAACAAACCTATTTGGTCAAAAACAAAGCTTTCTCATATTTCACAGAAGAACTAACATGTTTTCCTTTATTTTCATGACTATGCCATATACCTGACAATGAATATGGAAAAATAGGTTAGACAGTTACAAACAAGCTTGTGCATGCTTAGTTTTATTATTAATACAACAGGCATTTGACTGTAACTGTTTAATCTTGTTTCTCAAGCGGAGGTTATGAAAATGGAGCTTAACTCTAATGTAAATGTGCACTACATGATGAGGTTTAGTTAAGATCGCTGATGGACAAAACAGATTTGATGTCAGACTGAGGATTAAACTACATCAGTGATTGATGGCTGTAGTGATTTAGCAAGTGAAAGTCATTGAAGGCCTTAATCATTTTGCAGTACAGTCACTTTGTTTCCCAAACTCATGCTTTTTTCATCCTTGAGAGGATTTTGATGGCTGATTGAATATTGAAAAAAAAAAACATTTAAATCCATGAAACACCACAAGTAGTTGACTACAGCAGAGGATCAAATAAAGTCAGCGATGGGAAGGTGGCTGCAATACCGCAACGTACCATACGGTGGCAGCAAAAGTTTAAAAAATAATTATGGAGGCAAATTTTAGTATAAAATGATGGTTAACGTGCAATTTATCAAAACACAGTCAGTGTGATAGAGTATAACTGATGGTAAGTGATTAAAATGTTATGATGATATAAACTGGACTGGACTATTCATTCCGATGTGCTTTGGCATCACATTAAACTTTGTCCTGTAGAGCAGATTCTTTAGTTTGTTATTCAACTAAAGAGATGGGTTTCCATCACAAAACATCTCTTTCATAGTCTAGGGAACATGTGACACGGTCAAAACAGAGAGTCACTTCAAATATTGGTGTCCTGAGATAAAATTTAAAGGCAAATAAAATTGAGGCTCCACTTTACTCTGTAGCCGATGGCCCCACTTTTGCTTTCCCAAGTCACTTGATACTAGAAAAATAAGGAAGTTCAGTGTGACAGTGGTCATTTTACACTACACGCCACTGCATTACGCTCATGTCCTTCCCTCCTGTAGAGATTAATTGGCTGTCGTCATTTAAGAAATTAACATTGGTGACGTGGCTGCTGTGTCCACCGTAGATGTGACAAGGAGCCTGCAGAAGTAGATAGAGAGAAATAATACCATATATTTGCATTATTCGGGTACTAAAATGAACACTCTCTATCTGATGTTTAATATTTAGTGCTGTTTCTTACTCGGGACTGAGAGCAAGGGAACGAGAAGAGGTGAACTTTGCCAAAGTCGTCTCCGGTGATAAGCAGTTTCTTTGCATTTGAACTGCACACAGCATTGATGTCAGTACCATCTGAGCCATCCGGCCACAGTCCTGGAGAGTAACACAAACAGAATATATATGTCATTTCCTGATGGATTCATGGCTGTACACTTACATTTATAAAAGACAACACTACAAAAATAACGCATTTATGCAGATATATGGAGAAGACAGTGATTTGTTCAATTTAGCTATATTTATTACTATCTTTACAAATAAGGCTGGTTTTAAAGAATTATGTATTATTTTGCAGTATTATTTATTATGATTTCACACTGCTATCTAGTCATAGTCATGTCATAAAACAAGAACCTTACCAAAAATATGGAAGCCCAGAATACAGGTGAAAGTGGCCCATTCAATATCCCGGGTGGTCTCCACACTCACTACTTGCTTGCACACAGAAGGAATCCCTGAAAGACAATAATGTGTATCAGTTACTGAATTTATAGTATAAACGGATGGATTTAACTCAGTGGTTCTCAGACAGGAGGCTGGGTCCACTAAGGGGCCTCAAGATGACCTGAATGTTTTAAAATAAGAAAAAAAATCATTAAAGTAAGCCAAGGCTAATGATATTACTTATTTTAATTCACACCCTCAACAACTGTTTTTGTTGTTGTTGAAGAACCAGGGTTCCCACAGTCTTGGAAAACATATACATACACACACACACACACATATATATATATATATATATATATATATATGGAATATGGAAAACATATACATACACACACACAC